CACACACACACACACACACACACACACACACACACACACACACACAGCTTTTTAATTCTTCAGTCTGCACGCACATATGGTTTTGGTCAGGCCAAGTAACTGGTGGCAGAGAAGAAGGCATGAGATAACTTATAGATTCCAGGCAGTTGCATCATGTAATGCATTATTCAGTTTTAGAATTTTAGTAAGAGTTGCATGTACACATTGCTAGACTAGTCATCAGAGGGAGGTGGGCCCTTCTGTGGAGGGTGATTTCCTGCCTTAGAGTCCATCAGCTTCTTTGTACCAAACTCCTGTCCTTTTTGATGCCCCTTTAAGGATTGTTTCTCCTGGTTAGTTGCTTGGGAATCTTGATCCAGCACCTGACTGACTGCATTCCTACCCTCATATGAAGGAGTCAAGTCATGTGTCAGAGGAATGGGTGGCATGGATGTTGGCATTTTGTGCCATGGCTATATATAACCTATTGTGCTGGGAGCTGAGAATGGGTGAGAAATTCCTTTTAGTCTATTTCAAGCAACTGGCATAAGGATTAGTCACGGTATTACTGAATCAGTCTGTAGGTTCTTTTCTCCTACTCTATACTATTTGCAAATAACCAAGTACTCTGGGAGAGCCAGGAAACCATTCTCTAACCAATGATGAATCAAAAGGGGAGCTAGTGGTTTAAAAACTCCTTTCCCTGGAGCAGGTGTGGGGTTTGAAGTTTTCTAAATGTGAATAATGAGGTTTGATATGCATGTTGTCATCAGTGCTCTCGTGAAGGGAGAAGAGTTACGAGCTTCAAGGTGCCACCTCTTTTCTTATGTAATTTGGGCTTGGTCAAATTTCTCACAGTGTTGAGGGGTCATGTGTACATTGTATCAGACAGCCAGACTTGCTTGTGTGCTTCCATGTGTCAGAATGCACCATTCCGTTGGCTGAGATTTGCCAGGGATTCCCCGTTTTCTTTGATATCTGGCTATTGTCAAGCAAAGGTTCTTTTTATCACAGTCTTAATCATAAATACTTTTAGATCACATGTTATATATGACATAATAGTTATATCCATATGTAGTTACAACATGGCTACAAAAGGGTTAAAGAGGTTACAACAGAGTTCAAGGCCTTCAGAGGAAGGGTGCAGAGGAAGTGATTTGACAGAGATGCAAAGAGTCACTGTTCAGGCAGATGTGGGGGTGTTAGGTGGACAGCTCAGAGGCAAGCCAGGGTTGCAGAGCTAAGCCAGGCCTCAGGACTGAGTCAAGGCCCCCACCCCCTGAAGGTGAGGTATAGGACCATGGATGCCAGAGCAGCAATGTGAAACGAATGAACAGCTGGGTTGACAGTGGCAATTTGAGTTGGTCATCAGCAGTGGGGACTGAGCGGAACTGAGGCCCCAGCAGCTCAGGCGTCCTCTTCTTGTTAGTCCTCTCATGTACACAGTGAGGCGTTAGATGGCAGGTTGGCGGGGGTCAGAGCCCTTGCAGTGTTCACGGGTCCTCTTTAGGGGATCCAGGGAGGGTGTTGCACTCTTCCTTGGTCTTTTTTTCTGGTCTGATTTTAATACATCCCTGTATTCACATGGTCCCAGTATACTTTGCTAAATGTACAGCCAATGACTTCTTGATTTTAAGATTTGGTCTGTGCTTTGTGGAACATGTCGAATTGGTGGTGATGTTTTTGTGCACAAGGTACAGAATTATCCCACATTTTCACTCAAAATGAAGCCAACACTCAATTTGCAATGTTGATTGCAAATTGGAGTCACCTAGGGCAAAGCACAGTCTAAAAATAGTATTTTATATAGTTTGGAGTAACAGGGTAGGGCGCAGCCTGGTACCAAAATGATGGATGCGTTTTATATGATCATAGTGATATTTTGATGAGACCAAGGTCCTCTGGCATGTCAACATGGTGTCTGGCCTAACCTGTGCGGAGTTCCTTCCTCAGGTATAACTGGGCAGCAGGCACTGGGAAGCATGTGCTCATTAGCATCTGTAAATAAAAAAACAAACAAACAAATACATACATACATACATACATAGATATATAAGCAACAGTCCTTGAGAGGACAGTGGGCTATCTGTAATTTTGTTGTCTAGGCTTCTAACAAAGCCGTTTTGTCTTCCAGACATTTGAAGTGTTCTGTATCTATGGGCTCAAGGAGGCAGAGAGAGGTTAATAAAAATCAAGACTATAAGAAGTTGGCAGTGCTGTCAAGAGAGTGGCTGGAATGTTAGACACAGTGCTGTGCTGGGGCTGGGGGGTAGGGAGGAAAGGGCTGGGGTCTAGGAGGTGTAGAAGAGTATCTGTAGTGCAAATAAAAATGACCTGGGAAGAGGAGGCGCTGATCTGAAACCTGCTGATACTGTTACACAGTTGGAATGATGACAGGGTCCAGAAGAGAGCTGTGGCAGAGGGAGGTGGCAGTGGTCTAGGGCTGGAGGTCTAGGTGGTACAGAATAAAGGGAGTCTGAGACGCATCAGAGTGAAAATGAGTATTACTTAAGATCACGGTGTGGCTGGTATGGAGAGGGGAAAATGTAAGCCAGATGCATCTGTTAATGTAATGTAGTTTAAGTTCTTTAAAAAAAAATTTAACTGAAATGCATGTACCTGAAATCAAAAGGTTATCTTCCTGACATAGAAAGATTGTTTAGCGTACATGCTGATGGAGCTCAGAGACTTGTCTATATTCTGCAGGGCTCAGCACTCAAATGTTCCTCTGAAAAACTTGCTTTAGCTGAAATCCCCAGTTTTAAAAGTCAGTGACACAATAAAAACCAACAGATAGAACACTCGTATGCTATGCATGTGTTATTCTGATTCTTAATTGCCCCTTAAACTGACCAAGCAAGTGATCATTCATGGACTTTATCTATCCGTCTGCCCTGTGACAGCCATGGACACCAAGAACTTATGAATCAAGTGTCACGTCAGATTGGAATCTGCTTTCCTAGTAATGCGTGTGACAGTGATTGAAACTTTGAGTTAGTGATGTTCTTGTTTAAGATTTTTTGCTCTTTTTTTTTATCTGGAAACTGGGATCTTCACTGTGACTGAAGTATTAAATCATGTCAGTTTTTGGAGAGTGAGCATTGTCCCTTACAATGAAAACGTCATAAGCTTGTTTAGGAAGTCTGGGGACCCCTCGGAAACACACTGTAGCCTTCTCTGTTCCTACACACCTGACTGCTGCTTCTGTTCTCCAATGTTGTGTGCTCAGAGCAGCTGCTGAGTCCTCCTCTAGCACCAGAAGGAGTGAGAAGAGAAGAGTAGTGTTAGACTGACCTCTTAGCTGAACCTGGAATTTGAATACCTGAAGGCACAATAACATTTCTGTGTTTGAAATAGCTCAACCTTCCCGTATGTGTAGATGGGCCGGCATACAGGAATATATCTGCAACTGTGTAATAGAACAAAGGAAGCCAGATGTCTAAAACACGCCCTGGCTGCCCTTGTGTTGGATGAGTGACCTTTTATAACCCCTCCACCCCAGGGGAAGGTTAAGTCACCCTCTTTCCTTTGCTGCAGGACATTTGTGAAGATATCTCTGACCACGTTGAGCAGATCCATGCCCTCCTTGAGACGGAGTTCTCCCTAAAGCTGCTGTCCTACTCGGTCAATGTCATTGTAGACATCCACGCAGTGCAGCTGCTCTGGCACCAGCTCCGTGTTTCTGTGCTTGTTCTGCGGGAGCGCATCCTACAAGGTCTGCAGGACGCCAATGGCAACTACACCAGGCAGACTGACATTCTGCAAGCTTTCTCTGAAGAGACAAAGGAGGTGAGTGGCCCTTGACAGCAAGCAATGCTCTGTCAGGTCTTTCCCATTTAAAATATTTTCAGCTTAGAGATGTGAGAATGAGGTCTTTATGGGGAGGTGAGCAGGTCTCTAACTCGGATCTGGGTGGAGTGACTAGCAGCTGAGCGCTTGTGACTAGCAGAAGGGGCTTTGACATACAGAAGAGTTTGTACAGATGTCATCCATAGATGTTTCTAGCACTTCCTGACTTCCTGTCTGCTCTTCAATGACTTAATACACATTTTTTTTAACACTTACTATGTTCAGGTACTAGATATTAAAAACATGATCAAAACAGGATCTACTGGCTGGAAAGATGGCTTAGCAGTTAAGAGCACTGACTGCTCTTCCAGATGAAGGTTCACTTTTTAACCCTTTCATGGCAGCTCACAACTATCTGTAACTCCAGTTCCTGATGACCTGACACCCTCTTCTGGCCCTAGTGGGTACCAGGCATGCATGTAGTATATACAGATCTACCCAGGCAAAGCACACATACACATAAATGCCCAGTACCCCGCCCAAACCTGTCATTTCTGCTTGTGAGGAGCTTTGAATCTAGTCAGGGATAGAGACAAAAGAATAGATGTTAAGACCAAACTGTGATGAGTCTACAAGATGCGGTAGGATGTCAGGGAAAGAAGCATCAGATTTAAATAAGAAAGGTTTTCCAGAGTGGGGCTCCCTGTGTCCTGAAGGGAGGCGGGATTAAACAGATAAATAGACACAACATGATCAAGACAGACAGGTTGACAGGACCAAAAGTAAAAGAGATGAGAATAAGAAAAGCTGGAGACTGAAATCAGGATTTGGTAGAGACCAACCAAGAGAGCAGAGGTCAGATTGCAAAGATAAGCCTTTAAAGCCATAGCAAGAGAACTGGATCTTGTTTTGAGGTCAAAATTATTGTTTGTTAAGACAGCCTCCATGTTTAGCTTCCTGCTGTAGAAAACCAGTATGGATAGAGTGGACACTGGACCTGGGAATTAGTTGGTGATGGGTGCTTATTTAGCATGTCCAAGGTTCTAAGTTCAGTCTCACCACTGAAATGGAACAGCAGCAGCAACAAACTCCCAAACAATGGACACTGGATTTTAATCCAAATTAACTCTTATCATTCTTAAATATGCCTAACTTATTCTACTTGTGTAGCTATATGGGTGTAGATAGATGTAGAAAACATGAACACGTACATGGTGTTTGTCTCTACAGTTCTGTGCCTCTTGATACTTAGTTCAGTAATTTGTTAATATTTTTTTTGGAAAAAAAACCTTCAAGTTTATAAAGCTCCTGTATGTTTGAGATGAAGAAGCTTTTTAACAAGTGTTGCAGAATTCACTAATTTATTAATTTATTAGTGTTTCAGTGACAGTTGAACTGTCAACATCATGAAACAAATCTGTGCCTGTTTTTATAAATGATGTACTCTTACTGATTTTGTTTATTCAAAATAAAGATGCCATTGTTGAAAATCTGTGTGGGGCTTAGAGGTCTATGGGAATCCAGATGTTCTTTGTTCTCTTCTGAGCTTGCCAGTCTCCATATGCAGTTAGTGTTCCTTGCTGCTGTGGCTGGGACCATGGGTTAAATGTAGGCTGTGTTGGCTTTCAGATGTCATTGCTCCCCAAGCCCCAGAGGCTCTCAGATGTGACTCTCAGGGTTGTGAGATACCACAACTTCCAGCTGACCATCTTCCCTGTGAACTACCACCTCTTAGCATATATGCTGATGGAGGTCAGAGACTTGTCTATATTCTACAGGGGTCTTTCTTCAGATACACCTCTGTCTACTGCGGAAGAGACATGCAGACTGGTTCAAAGAGGTTCATTTGACATATTGATTTATTAAGTAGAAGATAGGGAGTCACCAGCTTCTTGTTATAGGAATTTGAAGACAGAAATATTCTAAGGCTTATTCTTATTGTTATATGAATTATATTATTTTATAGATTATGTAATTTGCATTTGAACTCATAAAATTCATTAAATGGAAACAGAAAAAAATGGGGAAAAGCCATTGACTAATTGATAATAGCTGACTTTTCTCTAACAACATCGTGAGTTTGCACTATGTAGTACCCACTGTGATTCTTGCAAAAAGAACTAGAAATGTATTTATAAATTTAAGTTGAAGCAGTTTGGTAAATTTTTATTTTGAGAGCAGTTTTAAAATTATTGCAGAGAGACAAAAAAATAGACTCCATGAGGGCAGAGGAACAGTAGCCTTGGAGCCACTGCTTTGCGGTTGTCTTCTGCCTGCCCTGACTCTTGGGGAACCCTTTCTGATTCATCTGTTTGTGACTCTAGCATGCCTCCAGGAGAGCTGACAGATGCCTAGCTTTCTTTCTTTTTTTCTTCCTTCCTGCCTTCCTTCTTTCCTTTCTTTCTTTCTTTTTCTACTTATCTATTTATTTATTTATTTTTGCCTGCATATCAGAACCGGGGAAATGGAAGGAAATTCAGAAAACATTCTCTAAGTACCTTTAGTGGTGGAAGATCTGCAGAGTGGAAATGAAATTATAAAACTAAAATACAAAATAAAATGAAACACTGATAACTAGAATAGCAGATGCCCATTCCAGTAAAAGGGGATTTGATTTCAGAATTCATTTGAATTTCAGAGCCACACAAAAGAGTGAGTTTGAAATATGAGAAAGTGGCAAGTTCTAATTGTTTTTCTCTTTGACAAATACAAAACATATGAGTTTATTTGAATATTGAGCAGACTATGTATAATAAACAAAATGGTGGGCACATACCTAAAATAAAACAAATCAAACAACCAAACAAATGCATTTAAACACTTTGAAGCAAAGTTCAAAATGTACAATGAACCACACCAAAATGTTCTATACTCTAAATACCAGGCAGACACTTCACCATTTGTTTCATTTAACAAGGAAGGTGAGGAGGAAATAGTTTTGTAGATAAGAAAATTGAACTGAAGAAAAGTTAAGAGGCTGCTTAAATACACAAACTTAGAAATAATTAAACTAAATTAAACCACACCAGTTTTCAACTGATGTCTAGCTTGGCAAGTCCTACCTTGTCCCCTTGCTTTCTCCTTTCTCTTCCATATTCTCTAAGTTTTTATTGGTTTCCTAGTATGTATAAGGCACTAAGCATAGAATGATGAGTGAACACTAGCATCACCTTTATAATTTTGTGATCATGTGATTTTAGATGGTAGCAGAGAGGGAGCTGTTATCATTATATCTGTCTTATGGACGAGAGAGCTGAAGTTGGAAGAGGAGTTTTTTATGTAGTGATTAGTAGTTCTCAACACATGTGAAGCTAACATGAAGGCAGCATAAACAATTCTTCCTTCTCCGTGGGCTTCCTGCGGCACTTTCACATCCTGGTGTTTCGTGTACTCCCACACTGGCACTTCTCTCCAGCTAGTTTCTGACAAGCCAGGACAACACTAGCTTGTGAGCTGCGTAAGAACCAGATCCACACTGTCTCTCCCACGACATGAAGCTCGGACCGGATATTTGGTATATAGGCATTACTGGATGATATCTGCAGAACAAAGTTAAATGCTTTAAAACAAAGCAGATAACCACTTCTTCAGGTATAGGACAGGGGGATATTACTTTAGGTTGGTGAACTAGGGATTAATCGTAGAGATTATCTGATTTATAATTTCAGCCTACAGAAAAATGAAAATTCTTAAGAATTATTATGTAGTCAAATGATGCTGAAAGTTTTTGTTTTTGTTTTTGCATTTTCCCATCATCCATCAGAGCGAAGTGTGCTTTCCTTTTCCTCATCATGCCCATTCTTTCCAGTGCACTGCTGCTCTCTGGAATGTGTTCAGAATCAGAGCTGCCAGTGGTAAAGATGAACAGAGTGGAGAGAGCTCATCCTCTGCTTCAGGGTGGGGCGGGGGCAGGTGGCATTTTGTTAAGAGGACCATAACTTTGTTGAGGAATCGAAACATGTGGAACACTATGGAGGGAAGAGAGGGGTGGCAACATTGAATTGGGGACCACAGTAATGGGTGCTGAGTAGCCGAGGACACGGATATACCTGTGGAGCATTTTAATAGGGGACAAGCTTCTAAGTTATGGCTGTTAACTTGGTGACAAGTGATAGCGTAGTACTGAAAAAAGGATGTAAGAAAGGATTGAGGTTTCAGTCAACTTAATTATAGATTAGGAACAAAGCATAATCTATGTTCAAATTAGAAAAGAAGCCAGGAGCTTCCTGGAAGTTGAAGACAAGTGAATAAATTGCCACCCACATACAGTGCATCCTCCATTCAAGAGCAGCCTCCAAATGTGAGGGTGTATCTGAGGAAAGACGTTGCCAGGCAGCCCTGACACAACTCTCAGCACTAACAGTCCTATGTGGTAATTCTGGTATCTAAAGGCAGGAAAACCATCTCATCCTCATCCTTCAGTTTCATAGCCTGTGTGGCCTATTTTTTATTTACATATGTCAGCAAAGTGTCTGAGAGGTGATGTGGAAGGAATCAGCAAAACTAAATGCACGATTCTTACTAAGCAGCACTTTAAGTAATGAAACTTATCAATCATCTGCTCTGAGAAACTTCAGGGAACTTTTTTGTTTTTTAATTTTATTTTTTTCTTAAAAATCCATTGGTTCAATTGCCAGCATGACGCCTCTTTGCCCACCAGAAGCCACTGCATAGTGAAAACCCATATTGCTTTTTACTGTTCTCCTGCTGTTGCCTAGCCTCCCTCAGCCCACCTCCAGTGCTAGGGATTAAGTTCAGGGCACCATTCTGGACTACACCCTACTACTGGATCCTAGTCTGCACCCCAAGACTGTACTGTATCTGCTTGATGATTGCCCTGGGGGGGGAGGGATGGACTTTCCCCCCAAATTTAAACATTCAATATTAATAACATGAATGCTTTTGTGGTATGGCTTTTTTTTTTTTAAATCAAACCAGTAGCAGGTTAGAGATCCCCAAAGTTTTAGAAAGATCAGTCATACTCTATTCTGAGATGCAATCATTTATTTATCTAACATATTTTAAACATATTCATGTCCAATGATTTATTAAATATCTACTGTTCAAGATGAACTGCTCAGTGGGTGCTCAGCCTTGTTGCTTGCCGTCTTGTTCCTTCTAGCAGTGATGGATATTGAGGAGGAAGGCACACTCAGCCTCTAACGCTCAACCGCCCTAAACAAGGGAGGATCACTAACCTCCACGCTCAGCAAAAATGGGCTAAGCAGAGTTGAGTGACTTCCAGGCTTCATTAAACAACAAAGACAGACCCCAAACCAGCCAGGAGTGAGTCAGAAAAGCAAAAATTACAGTTTGAGATTTTTAAGCGAGAAATAGTGAGAATCCCAATCTAAAAGTAGATTTCTATTTTAATTTTTTGATTAGGTCAGTCATTACTTAGGAGTTTCTTTTCTATAAGGATACTATTTACATATTCATATAAAATAGTTTATTTGGGGTTACACTACATAGGGGATAACGTTTCTCTCAGAAACTATAGGTTGCTAAATTAAAGAACCAGTGCTAGATAGGAGATACCTCTCCCCCAAGTTGTTGGTCAGAGGTGTCCTGGAGACCCCAAAACAATACAAATGGGACATCTAAATCACCCCTCTCCAAGGTTCAGGGACGGAAGAGAAGGGCAGAATGACTGCAGCAGCCAGTGGGGGAGACTGGAGGAAAATGGCATCTTACAGAGATGACAAGAGCGCTGCACCCATGGCAGCACAAACTGGACTGGATGAGGATTTTTAGAGAGAGATAGAAGTTGAAGAGGGTACGGTAGGGGTTGTAGATCTGGTGGGAATTAGGGGAGAAATGGGAGTTAAATATGACCAAAATACATTGTATGAAATTATCATCAAAGAATTAATAAAATAGTATATTAAAGTCTATTAAATGGATAATTATGTTCCTAAGCCATCGCACAAGAGCTTTCTAAAAATTATCAACTAGTACAATTTGACAATATTGCTTTCTATTTTTTATCATAGTTACTATCCTACAAAACTTCCATGAGGTTTAAAAAGAACTAAAGAAAGGTATTACTGTAATGAATAAATTTCAGAGTTCAGGAATAACACATGTTGAAAGTGTCAACCGTCTTCCTTTGCACAAACAGGGAAGGCCAGGAGTATATTCTCCTGTGATTCTCCGGTCCTCTAAAGCCCAGGAACATTAAGCCACCCCTACCCCATTCTGCCCTGCCCAGGTATAGGCCATTTAACCAGCCAATCAGGTAGGTTTACACAACAAGGATAAGTGTACCCAGAGCTTGAGGGCCAGTAACACACATCAGACCAACCTCCAACAGACTGCTTTCAGAACTGGGATTCTCCTTCTCCCAGGTGTGCTCAGGGGTTCATACTCAAGTTGTCATCTTGATGGCAAGCACACTTACACAGAGTCAGCGCACTGTCCTGTCATTTCTGCTTTATAGATGGGAAAACAAAAGTTACACAGCATCAAGCCACTGACACAGTCGCAGAGCTACTGTTAGAGCAAGAATATGACTCTGAAGCCTGCTGAGTTTAACCGGTCAAGTTAAAGCGCATAATTAGAGGAAGAGGTTACACTTAGACCTAGAGAGACTTCAAAGTGTCACCATTTTTTCACTCCCCACATGCATCTCTCTAAATGCTGCAGGGACGCTGGCCAGACCACACATTTTCCACATGGCTAATATTCTTATGACGCTTACATACAAAGGAGAACAAATTAGATGACTAATTACAGTATTAGTTACTATTCCCCATTGAGAGAAATAGTTAAAAGGGAAGTTAGCATAGACTTTAAGAGCTTTCTATGAATGGTTCTGACTGAGGTGAGAGTCTGAAGTCTAGAAGAAGTAAAAACTTTGGCTAATGTCTAAGGGATCCTTATCTCTTAGATTTCAAGATACTAAATGCAAAGTTCTGAGGCGGGGGTGGGGTACATTCTGTGTTCAGAAACTGCAAAGAAGACAGTGTGGATGGACAGCACCAGGGAGGGGAAAGTGGCATGAGATAGCCTATTCATGTGTTTCCCTCAGACAGTTTGGGTTTGGGGGAGGGGCTGGGGAGGTGTCTCATCCCTGGCCCTGATATTTTAGACTAGTTTTTAGTCTAACAGTTAAAGGAAGCTACTAAAAATTTGAAGCAGAGAAATAACAGCACACATCTGCAATTTGTAAAGGTCCCTGGCAGCATAGAGCACAAACTAGAAAATCAGGCATATTGTAGTAAATAAAAAAATGGGTGTTGGGCTATATAAGGTTTATTATTAGCCCTAAGATTATCACAGCGGCATTATTTAACCCACTATTCCAAATAACAAGACACAGAAACCTGTTAGATTTGTAACTGCCTTAGTCACCTTGGGCAGATATTTCACTTACACTATTTCAGTATCCTCACCATCCATCTCCCAGCCCCATCCAATGCCATCCACCTTAGTCCTCCTCGTCTGGTCTACCTTCCATCCATAATCCCATGGTACTTGCTTGTGTCCTTCATCTGGGCCTTTTCACGCCATAATTGTGACCCTTCCTCCCGGCCCCATGTGGTTTCTTCTCCAGGCTAACCCATTCTGGCATCCTCCTCCTTCCTTTCTTTCATCTGTTTGTTTGTCCATGATTCTCTTGATTCTTCCATCCTCAAAAGCCCAGGAACCTAGCCATGCCTACCCCATCCTTCCCTGCCAAGGTATAGGCCATTTAATGAACAATCAGGTATAACGTTTTAGGCAGGTCTACACAAACAAGGATGGGTGTGTCCAGCGGGCAGTAACAGATCTTGAGTGCCAGTAATTAGCATTAGACCAACCTCCAACAGTTCTTCTTTTCTGTGTAAATAAAAAGGACATTTTTATACAGTAAGAACAAGTATGAAACAATTATAAAAACCAGTAGCCAAGGCTTACATAGATAATGTCTAGTGTAAACGTATTTGGCAATCTTGAAGAAAATACTTATTTTGTCTATGAAGGTTTTGTACCTAAGTTATTTTATAGTTTGTATCTATCAACCTAAAAACATCTATCTAGATCTAAAACATCTTTTTAATTCCTAAGCAACTAAGCTAATTGTAATACTATGACTGTCTGGTCTTTAACCTCATCAGAGACTCCAGAAGGAATAAAATTAATTACTTGAGTAAATAGGAAGCACGTGTTAGCAACTTCGAAAAGACAGGCCATGATAGAGACAGTTGGTGGCCTGAACAGCCACCCCAAACTCTCTATAATGTTGGCACATTAAGGGCATGTTTGTTTAAAGCAATAATCAAGGTTAGCACCTGATTATTCAGGCCGATAGGCTCAGTCCAAGGCCTCAAATGGCCCTTAGTCACCAGGCTTATGAAGACAGGCCTTGTCATGTAGCTCTGTAACTGTAGCTACTCAGGAGGCAGAAGGATTGCAAGTGTAAGCCTGATAATTGCAGTGGGAGTTCAAGGCTAGCGCCAGTAATTTAGCAAGCACAGGAAAAGGAGAGCTGGGACAGAGCATGGCAGTAGACTTGTAGAACAAACACTTTGCTAGAATGCCAATTTCCTAGTGCAGTTTCCAGGGCTTCAGGCAACAAACAAACCCTGAAGTGCTTTAGAAACTATTACTGCACCATCTTAAGAAAAGATAGAATGGGACTTTGGGGCTAGGCTCCACCAACTGTAAGACTCTATGCCCACAATAAACTTTGAACACTTACTTAAAAGGCAAAGAGTGTATACAAAGCAGTGTGGTAGTTGGTTAATGTGCCTTTCTATGGGTCAGACCAGAGCAACTGAAACTGGTTGAGATTTCATGTGGAATGCAATTTAGTGTTGCACGTACTGAAACCGTTACTGTTGTGTGTTTCAGGGCCGGCTTGATTCTCTCACAGAAGTGGATGACTCAGGGCAGTTAACTATCAAATGTTCTCAGAATTACTTGTCTCTGGATTGCGGAATTACGGCGTTTGAACTGTCAGACTATAGTCCAAGCGAGGATCTGCTTGGTGGCCTGGGTGACATGACCACTAGCCAGGCCAAAACTAAACCTTTTGACTCTTGGAGCTACAGCGAGATGGAAAAGGAATTCCCCGAGCTTATCCGGAGCGTTGGGCTGCTTACAGTGGCCACCGAGCCTGCCCTTTCTGGTGACGAAGCAGCCAGTGAGGCCTCATCTCAAGTGTCTCTTTCAAAAGAGCACAAGGGTGAACCTGAGGAAGACAATGCTCCCACCGCTGGAGAGCAGCGAGGCTCAGCACCTGCGATGGCCTCCTCAGGGGACAAGCTGACAGACGCGGTTCAAAGCCCTGCAGAGACTGCCAAGCAAGACCCCAGGTCCGCTCCAACGCTTGATGAGAAAAAGCCCCAGCTTGTTCCCTGTGAAATCACGACTCCCAAGAGATCTATCCGCGATTGCTTTAATTATAACGAGGACTCGCCCACGCAGCCCACATTGCCCAAAAGAGGGCTTTTCCTAAAAGAAATTCGTAAGAATGAGTGGAAAAGCAGTGAAGGCAAGAGGCAGCTGGTTGACCTGAAGCCCGAACTGAGCAGAAGCACCCCCTCCCTGGCAGAGCCCCCTGACAGATCCAAGCTCTGCCTGATCCTGCAGTCTTCCTACCCCAGCAGCCCCTCTGCCGCCAGCCAGTCCTACGAATGTCTGCACCAGGTGGGCATTGGCAACCTGGAGAACATAGTCAAAAGCCACATTAAAGAAATGTCTTCCAGTTTGGGAAGGCTCACTGACTGCCACAGAGAGAAAGCTCGGCTGAAGAAGCCGCAGAAGACCCTGGCCGAGGAACCTCTGTGCCGAACACCTAAAAGGGGCAGCGCTTCAGGGAGGCAAGCGGAGGTCAGGAGTCCAGTGGTGCCTCCTGCAGCATCCACGGCCGCCGGGAGCCCAGAGGCAGATTCCACCAGTGCCCAATTGCCAGTGCAGCCGGAGGCCTCCACTTCACCGGCATGCGCTCACAGCGGCGACTCCTCTGTTGGCTCGGACAAGACCAATTCTCCAGTTGCTCTGCTTTCTAGAAACGAAAGCCAAGGAGACTCCTCCCCTGCTCCGAGTCACGGCACACAGAACGGCCAGGTAGTGGAGGCCTGGTACGGCTCTGAGGAATACCTAGCGCTACCCTCTCATCTGAGACAGACAGAGGTGTTAGCTATGAAACTGGAAAACCTAACCAAGCTTCTGCCCCAGAAGCCCAGAGCAGAGACCATCCAGGATATTGATGACTGGGAACTGTCTGAAATGAATTCCGATTCTGAAATCTATCCAACCTACCAGATTAAGAAAAATCACACACGGCTAGGCAGGGTGTCCCCAAGCTCATGCAGTGACATAGCCTCCTCTCTTGGTGGGAGCATTGAGTCTGGGCCCCTGAGTGACATTCTTTCTGATGAGGACTGTATGCCTCTCTCTGGCGTGAAAAAATTCACTGATGAGAAATCAGAGAGACCTTCGTCCTCTGAGAAGAATGAGAGCCATCCTGCTACAAAATCAGTTTTCATTCAGAAACTAATACAAGATATTCAGCACCAGGACAACTATGAAGCCATATGGGAAAGAATAGAGGTAATGTTAGTTTTAACCTGGTAATTTTTTTTTTTTTTGCCTGAGTTTAAAAAGTAATGCTAAAGAACATTTACCTCCTCCCTACTCTGTTATCAAATATGCTGACAAACTTGTTAGAAAAATTTTAAATTCTTCAAAGAAAGCTATGGAAAAGATCCACGAACCCCACATTTTGACATTCTATCCATCGTTCGTGCGGGCCTTACCAGTGCAGTCACTGCTTGCTGTAGAATTCTGTTGGTGGTATGAAAAGGAGGCTTTTGATGAATTGCCCACCGATGTCACTGATGAAAACAACCTATAAGGGCAGCTACACACGCAAGGGCTTCCGGAGGAAGAGTCACTGTTACCTTCAGCTCTTCCAAATCTCTTTTCGTAGCCCTCGCGTGTCCCACTTACAGTTTTCCTCTATTCTTCCCCTTGAGGACCTCTGTCTTACCGCTGAGCTGTCTCTCACGAGCATTACTACTAAGGGGATCCAGGAAAAGAGATTTAATTTTGGGTAAATCTGTACTTTTGGAAGGAATTATTGGATGTGAAAAGTCCTTTGGTCCAGAGGCATCCTTAGAACTTAGAGCTTTCCTTAGAACTCTGTTGGAAATAGATCCAGTTAGTTCTATCATTATTTTTCTTCATTGACATAAATTGCTCATACCTTGCAAGATTTGCACAGCACTTTACTATGTGTAAAAATCTTCCAGGTGCACCTTTAAGCCCAGTTCAGCCATTATGCAAAGAGGGTAGATCATGCCTGGTTATTATTTTACTAATGGAAACAGGCTAAACTAGCTGGGTTGACAGACATACCACCTAGTTGACACTTTTGCTTGGAAAACTAAAATGCAAACCTGTATCTTTTGATTCTTCCTTCATTTTTGCTGTTGCAGTGTTTAAACAGATTGGCATCTCTCCAACAGGGACATTTCAGTAGGGGACAAGTTTTAGAACCACTCAGATTTAGTAGACCATCACTGTGACCCCAGGTCCGTTCCGGACTGGCTGTATTGTCTTCCTCTGTAGCCTGGTAAGGCAGCTCCCCCCTCAGGGGGAGGTGATCAAAGAGCCAGCCACTGAGTTCATGTCAGAGACAGCGCCTGTTCCCCTTACTAGGGAATCCACTTAGAGACTGAGCTGAGCTGCCATGGGCTACATCTGAGCAGTTCTATGTTATCTCCATGCATGGTCCTTCTTTGGAGTATCAGTGTCATAAAAGGCCCCTATCCAGATTTTTTGGTTCTGTTGCTCTCCTTGTGGAGCTCCTGTCCCCTCCAGGTCCTTCCATCTCCCCCTTCTTTTATAAGATTCCCTGCACTCTGCCTAAAGGAAACAACCCTGAGATTCACTTTATACCCATCAGAATGGCTAGAATTAAAAACTTAATTGACAACATATGCTGGAGAGGATGTGGAGAAAGGGGAACCCTCCTCCATTGCTGGTGGGAATGTAAACTTGTACAACCACTTTGAAAATCAATCTGGTGCTTTCTCAGAAAATTAGGAATAGTGCTTCCTCAAGATCCAGCTATACCACTCCTAGGCATATATCCAAAATATGCTCAAGTATACAACAAGGACATTTGCTCAACTATGTTTGAGATTGTAATTTAATTACATTTCTCCCTTTCTGTTTTTGTTTTCCCTCCAAACTCTGCAATATACCCTTTCCCACTCTCCTTCAAATCCATGGGCTTTTTTCACTGATTGTTATTGCATGCATATGTGTGTGTGAGTGTACACATACATTCCTCACATAACCTGTTGAGTGTATATATTGTCACTTGTATGTATGTTTTCAGGGCTGTTTGGTACTGGGCCTCCCTTTGGAAGGCTCTCTCCTAGGGGGAGCCACCCACTCCCAGTTTTACTCAGTTGCCCTCAGTTTTTGTGTAGGGTTGAAGCTTCGTGGACTTTTCCCATTTGTTTTAGAAACTCATTTTTTAATAGATAGCATATTCACATGGTTTAAGAATACAGACATTAAAGAAATACCCATTAGCTCTCCCTCCCACACCTATACCCAGCCTTGGGTTCTAGCCTGACTGCAGGTAGTTGTTATTTACAACCTTGGGTCTTTTAAAAAATTATTTTCTTGTTCGTACATAAGCAAGAGCAGTCATATTTGTTAAGTAATATTTTAAAAGTCAAGACTCAAGTTGCAACCTATCTTTCTTCATAAATAGAGGCTCATTTCTATGTACTATTATCTCCTAATATATTCAGGGAATCTCTTCAGCTTGAGGGAGTTTTTTTCCAAGTCCTCATGACTTACCAAGAACTTAAGGGATAGATAAATTAATTGAGTTTCAATTTTGAGTACCCAGTTCTCTGTGAGATTTCAACATAAAATTAAGAGTAAAAAAAATCAAATCAAGCCACTGAAGCAGTTTTTTTCCTTATAAATGCATGAAATAGAATGAAAATAATGAGGAGAAATTAGAAAAGGGAGTGCTGAAAACAGACTTTAACATAGGTTAAAAATTAGTCTAATGTCTGGACCACTGTAATATAGCTAACATGAATACCCTAGCTCTACCCCAAAGGGCAATTCTGCCCCAAGCCTGTTTATTTCTACTCATGTTTTATTTGTTGATTTGCTTTATTTTGTTCTATTTCTTCTTTGAAGTGCTGAACATTTGAACCCAGGACCTCTTACAAGCTAGGCTAGTGCTCCAGTACCCAGCTACACACCTAGCCTGTTTGTAAAGTAATGTTTTATAGTAACACCGTCATGCCTTTTGTCTATGGATGATTTTGCTCTGCAATGGTAGACTTGAGGAGTTGAAACAGAAAATACGAAGCCTGAAAAAAATGAAAGACTTCCCTTCTGGCCCTTTGTGGAGCAAAGTTCCTGGCCTCTGGCCTTAATTGAGGAAGAAAGAAGGAAACCTCTTCCTGAGTAGCATATGTTATATGCCAGGTTCTGCTGTTGGTCCTCTCACTGGTCGGAGGGCTGCAAAAATGGCTCACTGGGCTTTCTCACCTCAGCAGAGACATCCAGATAAGCTTCCTGAAGCAAGGCCTGCTTCTCACACTGCGGTAACACTGTCCTGGGAAATGACACCATTCAGTTGGAGTCAGGGATAGCAACTTGATAGATGTATGTCATAGGTAGGCCACAAATGTCTTCAAACATCAGATTATGGTATCTTGGCTATAGTAAAATGGCTTAGCTGTTGCTGTGTTTTATTCCCAAAGACATCTATAAACCAGTTTTAAGAACTGCGCTGCCAGCTGGGGTTCTCATTGCTCATAAATTATTTTGGGTTCAGTGCAGCAAATATTTAGTTCAGAGCTCCCTCTTTGTAGCTGGGCTGCATAGAATTGTCATCATGTCTGCATAATGGCAGCTGTCATTGTGCTCAGAGATGAAGCTGGGAAGGGGTGGGTTGAGTCTGCTGTGAGAATAGGAGAGTGGATTAAAGCAACACTGGTTAAACAATGATTCTCCCACAGTAAAGTGGGTGCAGACAGGCCTCATCTTTTCAAACTCCATTTGGTTATATGCTGACACATTATGACAACACCTGATGGTGGCAATCATAACATAATCATTTTGTTTTCTTCTTCTTTTTTTTTTCCTGTTTTGTTGTTGTTGTTGTTGTGGTGGTGGTTACCAAAAGCCATATAACAAAATTTGCCATATTTTAGCCATTTTAGGTGTACCGTTCAATAATGTTGGGTATTCACATTGGTATGAAACAGCTCTTTAGAATATTTTTTTTTTGTAAGTCCCAAACTCTATTCCAGTGGTTCTCAACCTTCCTATTGCTGACACCCTTTAATACCGTTCCTCATGTTGTGGTGACACCAGGCCATAAAATTATTTTGTTGCTGTTTTATAACTGTAATTTTGTTACTGCTATGAATTGTAATGTAAATACCTAGGTTTTCCAATGGTCTTAGGCGACCCCTGTGACCATTTGACCTCCAGAGAATTCACAATCCACAGGCTGGGATCTGCTGCTCTTGCTCTTAAGTAACTCCCCTCCTTTCCAGCCCCTTATTTCTGATTTTAAGAACTCTGGCAATATCTTCTACATGGAATAATTGTCTATCTTTTTTGTGACTGACTTATTTCACTTAGCACAAGCTCTAGTTTTGTTCATATTGTCCACCCATGTAAGTCCCATAGTTTGAAATACAGTTGCATCTCTTTATTCACAGCAAGAATAATTCAGTCACTACATAATATAATATGACATGATATGATATGATATGATAAATATAATATAAATATAATAGTGACATATAATAATTCACTGGATACTACATACCTGGATTTTCCTCTACTTTGAATTAGCATCTTTTATTGTCTTTGTGACCATATACCTGACAAAGCAGCTTAAAGGAGGGGATTTGTTTTTTAATATAGTTAAAAGAGACACAGTCCATCATGGCAGGGAAGGCATGACCACAGGCACCTCCACGACAGGGGCTCATGTGGCTGGGACTCCTCACTTCTCAGCAGAACAGGAAAAGAGACATGGTCTGTGGAACCATGAAACTGCAGAGCTACCCCCAGAAACTCATTTTGTGCAGCAAGGCTCTACCTCCCCAAAGTTCCATGACCTAAGTGTCCAGCAGCCTGGGACCATATGTTCAAGTATGTGAGCCCAGGAAAGCCATTTAACATGCAGAGAGTGAAAGCAGGCCCACTGGTCCTCCTGTTGGTGAGAACCACTCTTAGATCCTGGCAGTGATCCATGGTGAGAAGGTGCTGGGACATCTTACATTGGGGTCAGCTTCTCCGCACCGCCTTTCTTTTTGGTATGTGCCGTTCTCTTATCTAGCATCTTCCTTTCACAGTTCCAGCTTTCCTCTTGTCTCTGCATTTGCTCTCTTTTACCCTTTTCCTTCATTCCTGGTTTTTAACTCTTCTGGACCCAGTCTTCACTCCAGCGCTCGGGAAAAGAGCAGTAAGAGGCAGCCATGACATGGATGTGACAGTTTCACACTTGTGTTCACATGCCACTGGTCCACATCACCAGGGAGTTCAGGAAA